GATATTGGGTTGTCTCAACTTCTGGTATGCCAAATACGACACGAACCTCGGCCAAGCTTTGGGACGGAGCAGCCCATGGGAAGCTTCATTTGCCGTGAACACCCCTTCTCGGTTGAAGAATTTGGAGAAACAAGTGAGGAACACTACGCAGGGGACCAGACGCCTGGGCTCAGCACAGTTTGGGGGCTCTTTGGACGATGCAGAGAATAAGTACGGATGCCCGGGGGATCGATGCTACGTTGGCTGGATGTTCGAAACGCTCAGCAGTCACAAGCTCTCCCGGGAACGTGCTCCGAATGGCGGAAAGCCCCCCACCATCAGTGGGTAACCTCGAGGGGCATCACCACGCAGTGTGGTGGAGTTTGCATGCAGCTTCCTGCATTATGATGGGAAGCCGGCGACATAGCTGCAGCAACGATTCGTTGTCCTGCAACACTTCGGCGCGCGCAGCTATTTTGATTGCCTCAACTTGTCTGACATGAAGACAAACAATGCCCGGAACGTTGGAGGGAGGTGGAGAAGCGGCTGGGCGTGTCGAAAAGCCTCCAATGGAGAGCCACGATCTAGCCAAGATTCGGCACAGCAAGCTTAGACTTCAACTCTGCGACCAACGATTCGGGGATATTTCGGTGAGTGAGCTTGACGTCAGGATCTCCTGACTCGTCTTTTCCTATTCTTGAACCTACCTTCTCCTCATTCTCGAGCTGAGGGTAGGGACTTGGCTTGCAGAAATGCGGTTGGGGGGTTGGAGGAGCAGACCAACGAGCTAGACGGCCCCCATTCCTACCCCGGACTTTGAATTGCGGGGTGCAGAACGCGGGGGGCGGCAGTCAACCTATCCCCGGATAATGTCCATGCGGCAACGTCGGGTCCAGTGTGAGGCCGGCGCCAGGCCGGTGAGGGGAAAGGGTATGCACCTCAACCAAAAGAACGAGTATTGGGCAACTGAAGTGAGCTCCGATGTGGAGTGACCCTGAGCTATCCTCTGCGTTAAGTCTCCTTGGGCGTGAAGCTCGCGGCTTGAGACAGGCTGGAGCTCCCAAAACGGCACACGGCGCATTTTTAATGCAGGGTTTTCCGTGCGGCTCAATGTAGCAGGAAACATTGGGGGCGTTGTGAGGTTCTTGGCGACCGCCTTACTTACGAGGCAAACGTCTACGATATGATCGTCATCAGCAATGCGCAATTGCAATGGGCGTGTTAGCTAGAGTGGCACCGGACAAAGCCACTCTCGGACTTGCGGAAGCATGCAAGCTGGGAGAACCGGCAGTGGGCTTCTTCATCTCCTCATTCTCGTTGCTGTCCAATATGTGCCAACGGCGTAAATTTGCCGCATGAAAGCTGCCTGTCTTGCAGCTTCGAGGGCGTGCGGGGAAGCTAGGAAGCGTGTTGATCGAGGCACAGCCATGCTGCCATGCATTGGCTTTGGGTGATACACTTCACAGACGCGCGTCGATGATAGGTCACGACCAAACAACACCGGATGACACGGACGCTGCATGCTTTGGACCAAATCAGACCCCAGAACCTCGCGAATCCTGAAGGGATGCTCCATGGCTTCCCCTCATCTTCTCCCTCCCTGCCGGATCTTGGGTCTGAGATCCTGGAGGGTCTGGAGTAAAGTCGGGGTCGAGAACCATCCTGCCCAGACCAAACGGCGGGGAAGACTTCTACAGATGGCCTTAAGCGCAGCTGTCCTCCCATCTATTTAACGACCGTCCCGACCGGCGGAATCGAACTCGTCTAGAACACTTCATCTCAGCGAGCGCATTAGCAGTGTTGCAGTTGACCTGACACGGTGTTCATGCCGCTTTGACAATTGCTGCTCATCTTCAAGCCAGATATTTGAATACTTTGTTTTGATTCCCCGTCGTTGACAACGTCACCATGAGCGGCGCTCTTCCCGACGAGTTTGATATCATTGTGTGTGGTGGTGGCAGCACAGGATGTGTTGTGGCTGGACGGTTAGTCCCATCCCTCCAGAAAGAATGCTTCCAGAAAAAGACTAACACACAGACAGGTTGGCCAACTTGGACCATAACCTCACCGTCCTCCTAATTGAGGGCGGTGAGAACAATCTCAACAACCCATGGGTCTTCCGCCCGGGTATCTACCCCCGGAACATGAAGTTGGACTCCAAGACTGCCACGTTTTATGAGTCACGACCTTCGAAACATCTGGCCGGTCGATCCGCCATCGTGCCCTGCGCCAACATTTTGGGCGGAGGTTCCTCGATCAACTTTATGGTAAACGCAGTCTCTGTGCAGTGCAGGGGTGGCACAACTAACAAGACCACCAGATGTACACCCGAGCGTCGGCTTCTGACTACGATGACTTCCAGGCCAAGGGATGGTCTACGAAGGAGCTGCTTCCACTTATGAAGAAGCACGAGACATATCAGCGGGCCTCTCACAACCGGTAAGCGCACGCGTGATCGGTTGGACTCTCGCAAACTCTGTTCAACTAACCATGTGACAGAGATCTGCACGGATTCGAGGGCCCAATCAAGGTTTCCTTCGGCAACTAGTAGGTTCAGCCTAACCGCAGGGTTCAATTATAAATACATCGAAAACTTACAATTGCTTTCAGCACCTACCCAATTAAGGAAGACTTCCTCCGCGCTGCGGAATCGCAGGGCATCCCTACCGTCGATGATCTGCAGGATCTGTCAACGGGCCACGGAGCTGAGCACTGGCTTAAGTGGATTAACCGAGACGTGAGCTTATTCCCGTTCTCGCGTTCCAGATCAAACAACTGACTCAATATACTACAGACGGGCCGCCGCAGCGACAGTGCCCACGCGTACATTCATGCGACCCGTGCCGTCCACTCCAACTTATACCTTGCCTGCAACACTAAGGTTGACAAGGTCATCATTGAGAACGGCCGAGCCGTCGGCGTCAAGACCATGTGAGTGACAGAATCTTCAGGCCACTCGAACAAGACTGACAGAAACTAGCCCGACGAAGCCTCTTCACCCTAATGAGCTCAAGGGACGCACCTTCAAAGCTCGCAAGCAGATCGTTGTGTCGGGTGGCACGTTGTCCTCTCCGCTTATCCTCCAGCGCTCGGGTGTTGGCGACCCCAAGAAGCTTCGCGCAGCTGGCGTCGAGCCCATCGTCGACCTCCCCGGAGTCGGTCTGAACTTCCAGGACCACTACCTCACATTCTCCGTCTACCGCGCAAAGCCTGGCGTCGAGAGTTTTGACGACTTTGTTCGTGGCGATCCTGAGGTCCAGAAGCGTAAGTGAAGTCAATCACTTTTTCCCACATGTATACTCACCGCGTGCCAGGTGTCTTCGATGAATGGAACATCAAGGGAACTGGCCCCCTCGCCACCAACGGTATCGACGCCGGCGTCAAGATCCGGCCGACTGCCGAGGAGCTGAAGGAGTTCGAGAGATGGCCTACCCCGCACTTCAAGGATGGCTGGAAGTCGTACTTTGAGAACAAGCCTGACAAGCCAGTGATGCACTACTCGGTCATTGCTGGTTGGTTCGGTGACCACATGGTCATGTAAGTTGCATAATCAGCCCAAAGACTTCCCATACTGACAAGACCACAGGCCCCCTGGCAAGTTCTTCACCATGTTCCACTTCCTCGAGTATCCCTTCTCTCGTGGATCCACCCACATCACCTCGCCCAACCCGTACGACGCCCCCGACTTCGACGCCGGCTTCATGAACGATGAGCGCGACATGGTTCCCATGGTCTGGGGTTACATCAAGTCTCGTGAGACTGCTCGCCGCATGGACGCATACGCTGGAGAGGTCGCCAACATGCACCCCTTCTTCGCGTACGACTCCTCTGCCCGCGCCAGGGATCTGGACCTGCCAACCACCAACCAGTACGCCCTTGCTGGTAACCTGTCCGCGGGTATCCAGCACGGCAGCTGGACCCAGCCCCTCAATGAGGCAGACCGGAAGAGCGACATCAAGAAGACCGTGTCAAGCAACCGCGTTGAACTTCGCGACGACTTGAAGTACAGTGATGACGACATCAAGGCTGTCGAGGAATGGGTGAAGCGCCACGTTGAGACCACCTGGCACAGCCTCGGAGTAAGTACAATGGTTCTTCGCACAGATTCACGCAAGCTGACGTGGGATATAGACCTGTTCCATGGCACCCAGAGAGGGCAACAGCATCGTCAAGCACGGTGTTCTGGACGAGCGCCTGAACGTTCACGGCGTCAAGGGCCTCAAGGTCGCCGATCTTTCCATCTGCCCCGACAACGTCGGCTGCAACACCTACTCGACCGCTCTGCTCATTGGTGAGAAGGCTGCAACGCTCGTCGCCGAGGATCTTGGCTACTCTGGCGCCGCCCTGGAGATGAGGGTGCCCAACTACCACGCGCCCGGAGAGTTTATCCAACCCACCGCCCGCCTCTAATTTGTGACGGCATGACCTTTTCCTTCCTGTCACTACCTCCTTTACTTGGATGTATGTTAGGAGACCAGAATGCCTCTTGTCAAGCGTATTAGTTGAGCTACTTGCTGTTAGCCTATTGTCAAATGAATTATGATGCTAGTATAATCACAAGCCGATGATTAGTGAAACCACTCGCAGATCGGACTACATAGTATTTGTCATAAAGGAATGAATCTGCGGTTACTGTGTGAACCCTATTTCGTCCTAGGGCTGTCTCAATCGATGGCGGGATTGCGTGCATGACTCTTTGACCGATCCGAACTTGTACTCCAAACACAATAGAAAAATTCTAGAACGATTCTGGAATTGCAAGTTCCGTTGAGCCGCGAAGCTTATCCCAAATGTCGGCACAGACGGCCGGTTCTGTGGAACCATGGCGTAGTTCGGATCATGAGCTACAGGTTACGTCATGACCCCTGACCTTGATGATCGCCGGACACTGGTTCGAGAGGTGAACTGCTCTCATATTACGATGTTAATGCCGGCATTAAAACAGGCGGATCGTTACTCCCCAAGCTTTCGAAAGTCGAATAGTCGCGAAGTACAAGTTTGATAATATCAAAGTCGTCGTCATGTCGGACCCCAACTCTCCTCATATCAAGAACCGCGACACGCCATCATGGGGATTGTACCAGCGCGAGAACTTCTGGAAGTTGAACGACGACGATGTTCCTCTTTTCAACACCCGTAAGTTCGTAGACGCACGATTGATTACACAAGCTAATATCGCCTAGATCCTGACAAGTTGGAAGAACTTGCACAGAAGAAGTTGACCCAGAACGGCTGGTACATCTCACTCCCTTCTTATGCAGAATGATATGATCTAACAACCCCAGGTTCTATGCCTCATCAAACGCAGGGCTTTCCCATACCCATCTCGCAAACCGCCAGGCCTTCTTCCGGCACAAGATCGTGCCTCGTCAGCTGGTCGACACCAACGAGCGCTCCACGCGCACCAAGATCTTTGGCCATGAGGTTTCTGCCCCGTTCGGAATCGCTCCCGTTGGCATCAACAAGATCTACCACCCCCAGGGCGAGGTCCCTGTTGCCAAAGTTGCAGGCGAACTGGGGATCCCGTATAGCCTGTCAACGGCGGGATCCTGCACCATCGAGGAAGTCGCGCAGGCGAATGATGCAGGGCGCGAGTCTGCGATCAACGCACAGTCGGCGGACAAGTCAAAGATTCCACAGGGGCCACGGTTCTTTCAGCTATACATGCCACACGATGACGAGCTGACAGTTTCGTTGCTGAAGAGAGCGCATGAGAGCGGTTTCACAGCCTGCATTCTCACGACGGACACCTGGCAGCTCGGTTGGCGGCATGACGATGTCGCCACATCAAACTATGCCTTCTACCGCGGCATCGGCGCAGACCTGGGCCTCGCAGACCCTGTCTTCCAGAAACGACTGGCCGAGAAGGGGATCGATCCAAAGACCCAACCCGAGCAGGCCGCTGCGTTCTGGATCGACAATGTCTGGCACGGTCGGGCATGGAGCTGGGAGAAGGCCGTGTGGGCCAGGGAGAAGTGGCAGGAGATCAGCGGGGGCAAGCCGTTCCTCATCAAGGGCATCCAGAGGGTCGACGACGCGGAGAAGGCTGCCGATCTCGGATTCGAGGGCATTGTCGTGAGCAATCATGCCGGACGCCAGGTTGACGGCGCCATTGCCAGTCTTGATGCGCTCGAGAAGATTGCGGAGAAGGTGGGTGATCGGATTGTTGTCACGTTTGATAGCGGAGTGAGGGGTGCGGCGGACGTTGTCAAAGCACTTGCTTTAGGAGCCAAGTTCGTCTTCATCGGACGGCTCTGGATTTGGGGGCTGAGCATTATGGGAGAGCATGGGGTTAGACACGTGTTAAGGGGGCTGTTGGCTGATCTGGATATCTTGATGAACGTTGCCGGGGTAAGGAGCGTTGATGAGATTGATAAGGATCTGTTGGAGGCATTGCCCAAATCTTATACTCTCATCTCTGAGAAGAGTAAGTTGTGAATTGTCAAAGTCAGGGGAGGGCATCATATGTAAGAAATAGAGAAGATTGGCCGCCTCAAATGCAGCATTTCTTTTTAGCCGCAGTAGTAAAGGAGTATGTACACTTAAATCCAAAGCCTTTTACACGAAAGAGATGACGGATTGGTGGGGCCTCGCCTGGCCTCCTAAGCGCAGTAGCAGGTGTCGTCGAAGCAGTCGTATTGTCTGGTTCCGCACTATCAAGGCATAACGTTAGCAATTGAACCATGCAAATAGCGAGATCGTGGTTCACGTACCTACTTGATGCACTCGTTCACTTTGGCAAGACTGCAAGACGCCTGAGGAACAGGGTTGGGGGCGGCCATGGCGAGTGACACAGCGGCGAGAACGGCAAAGAAGCTGAGCTGCATGGTTGCGGTGGTAAGATGAACAAGTAGATTTTCTTGGGGTATTTGCAAGAGGAGTTTGAAGTAGTTTGTCCGTGAGCTGTTGAGGTGGGTTTCTGCTGTGGTGCGATCTCAGACTGCTTCTTATATTGTTCACGGTGAGTCCGCCCAGCTCGGTCTCGCGACTAAGCCGTTAGACCTCGCCATGCATACGTATAACTTCGGTACCGACTGTTTCCTCATACGGAAGCCCGAATCTTTGCCAACCGTGTTAGGAGTCAGATTGATTTGCGGGTTGGCATCTCGAAGCTATGTCCTAGGAATCAGGTTCGAAAGTCTGATAGATTGTAAAGAATAAAGTACGGTCTTGGCGGCTCTGTGGGGACATTTGGTCTGATGTTCGCCCAATCTGTCGACGCACTCCGTTTCATGTAAAATCTGCCCACCAATTTGCTAACAACGTGCTGAGCAGTTCATCCGCGATCGCCTTTTCATTTGATTCTGACGTCTCAAACATCAGAAACCGCGACCGTGGTGCCGGTGTTTGTCTGATCAATACCCCATCTGCCCACGGGGCAAGTCGACTATGGGCCAACATGTGGGAAATGATCTCCAAATCATGACTCGGCGACTCTATCACCGTCTCATGTTCCGAGTGGATCGCAATCAGTCTCTACCGATAAATTGACGTCTCAAATGAGCAGGACTCACAGCGGATGTCTTGGATAGACCAAAGCTGGCATTTACTCACATGCCAAGACCTAAGCCGCAGGAGAGCTACTAACTGAGGTGATATTGAGCCGACGTCTTGGATTGGAGTTAAGTTCGCCGGCTTGACGGAAGATCTTTCGTTACCGAAACTTCCATGGGATCCCTGTCATAGTTCACCATTATGAACACAGAGGAACTTCGATCGAAAGTTTGATAGATTATGAGCTTATTTTTGTAGGACTGGGCATAGCGTTTGAGTATGTACACTATACTCTTGACAATACGTTGTATTTTGACGAAGTGTATAACCCAACGTAATATTAACTATAGATCTAAGCTGAAAATAGTACTTTCTAGCGCTTAAACCCCTATTTATTCTACTTAGGCGTTAAAATAAAGTAAAACTAACTTAGACGCTTCTTCTTACTATAATAGGTGTCACGGTCTATGGACCGATATGAAGCTTCGGCTAGACCCTCAGCTATGGAATACTTTGGAAGGTTACACAATATCGTGGAAGGTTATGAGAACCTTGTCGGCCCTTACTCAATGGAAGCTTCTGGAAGAAGACTCACATGTATTTAAAGATGAGAAGGGCACCACTCTTTCCCAGAATGGTTCTTCTTTCCTCCAGCTTGGAATGCTCGTAGTAGTAGGCTAGACCAATGGCACCGACCATGTCCTAGACCCTTACACCCTCAGCCACGACTCATTGGACCCACCAAATCCAATGGCGCATTTGCTAGAAGGTTTCAGGAATATCGACAAGGTCAATGGCAAGGTTATAAGAATGCCCAGGAAATAGGGAGGATACGGTTCTGTTTCCTGTTCTTCAAGAAGATTTATTGTACTCGTAGTAGTAGGCTAGACCAATGGCATCGACCTTGTCCTAGACCCTTACACTACTTATATATATAGCGCCTCTTTTTAAAGCTTAGCTTATTAATCTAGTTAAACCTTAATAAAAGCTTAATAGAGGCTTAGTAATAGCCTAGCGCTAGCGCTATAGCTAGAATCCTAATTCTCTTATAAAAGTTAAAGGAAAAAGAAAGGTTTAAAAAAGTAAAAAGATTATTAATATACCTCTATATCTTATATATCTTTACTAACTAATATAGCTAAATAGTGTTCCTCTAAGTATATACTTTATAAATATATTTAGTTACTTAACTTATTAAAAGAATTTATTATACATTCTTAAGCTTAAATTATATTACTTCTTCTTTTGAACCTCTTCCTTAACCTTAAAACTTATAAAGTTATTAAATCAGCTTGATATTAAAGCTAGACTAAGTATAATTTATAACAGCATTATTATTAGAGCTGCGACTTAGATAGCTGAGTAGCGCTAATATGAGACTATTCTAAGAGGGCAGGAGGTCTTCTGAGGGCAGGCGTAAGAGCAGCATAGCAGGCAAGAGAACTACGCCCTGGAGTTTAGCTAAGGGCTCAGCGTATTTGGGAATACCCGAACTTATATTTCCTATCTGCACGAAAGCAGACTTCACATGAAACAACCAAAGACCAGAGCCTCTTGCCATTGACACCTTAGATGACTGGAGAGTCTAATTGCCGCCGCAAGACGAGCTTGATTTTGAAAATGCACCTTCCTCATTGGTGGTGAAGTTTGGACATCCCAAAAGCCATCCCTCGTCTTTGAGAAAACCCCCCCGAACCTGCTACTTACGTCCACGGTCTTGCTTGAAAGGTTTCCAATACCACGTGGATAATCATCTACAGCAACAATTCAAAATCAGGTACACTTTGTGAAACGCAAATCGGTCAAAACTGCATCATCTACCTCGGCTTAGAGAATAAGACACGCCTCACTCCGCGGTGCTATTCATCGCTGGTCTCACTAAGAAGGGCAGGCACCACTCGACACCACATACCACTGAACCTTCTCTCAGTGTATTTCAACCACGAAATGCAGAATACCAGAGACTCCAGTGTCGTGACAAACAGTCGGTTCACTCCAATATTCATTCATTTGTGCGGCACTAATGTGAATCAGGAGCCTCGGAGGCCGAACTTGCGATCTCCGCCCTTCATCGAGAGACGATGGTGATTTTGACGGCAGTCACCAACTCTCAGCAGCGTAAAAGAGATCTTCAACGCAGAGGTTAGTTGTCAAATTTGCATATCATAGCTCCAGGGCCTAAAAGGACTGATTGCTCTTCCCTAACAGGTCCAGCCCTGATCCCGGGGTCCGTGACCCGAAAGTGGTACGCTTTAGACACACAAATCACTGCCTACATGCGCGATGATGCGCACGAGCCTCGGTTGAATGATGAGATTACGGAGTGCCAGAGACGGATTTCGAATCACATGTCGCTCAGTCGATATCCTGAGGCGAACAATGTGGACATTGGCCAGTTGTATCTGCTGCTTGCGACGAAGCTGGCTCTCGCTGAGCTGAGAAGAGCTGCTGCTATTTGAGATTCAGCTTAGAATATTTTGGCATCGAAAGCCCCTTGATACCCATTCACATTCAAACAAGCATGCTAAAAAATAGCTCGGTTTTTACACAACTCATGGAGTGTGTGTGTGTGTGTATTTAGTTAACGTCTGTGGTGCCTCGGAACCGAGTAAAAGACGCTCCGGTGTCTATCTATTCCAAGCAAGCATAACAACTCATGGAGTAGCGAATGCAATGGCTCACATGGTCATGTCTGCTTCGAAACAGCAGCTCTTTGATCAGAGACCAGTCAGCTTGGCGAGGGCTGCTATTGAGAAAGACAAGGGAACGTAATTGGGGGCTGCGGACGGACTGACAAGCGCTTCGCATTGTCAAAGGGAGAGGTTCCCTGGCTTCAAAGTTCGTACTGGAAACTCTGTCGTGCCCGAGGGCAAGAGCTTCATCAAGCCAGAGAAGCAATATATTTCTGTTTCGTGTCAGAAGTTTCATAGATTATTTGACATGCATGCAACCAGCATTGGTAATTGTTTAATGTTTCCCGTGGATATTGGAACATAACATGTGATTTCTGAAGTGATGTCGTTTGTGCTGTCCGCTTGATGTTAGCTGCCGAGCTCTTGGAAAGAAGAAAGTGTCGGTAGGATCATATTCGTGACTGTTCTTGGGCGTTTGTCATGGACAAGCAGGCATTGGACAAGGAATGAGCTGTGCATTGGAGACGGCGATAAACTGGTCTCCAGAGCAGGCCGTGTCATTCGCGCGGGCATAGCGGGAGAGCCGATCCCTTAGCGTGTTTAGATCCCATACTAGAGGATGTAAAGGCCTTTTCTCATCCTAGTTCCTGTGCCAGATGTGTTATATCTCTACATACAGGGAGCTGAATCTGGGCAGGCAAACAAATTGAACCTTCCGACAGCCGGCAGGGAACCCAAAAGCTCCAGCGACGCCTCCGAGATCGACTGATGACATGCATCTGAAGTGACTATTTTGAAAATTCCAATCAGATAGTCGCGCTTCGGCCAAGATTTTCCCTCGTCGGCCAGGGTCCGCGGACTAATCGCGTCTCAGCTAAACCATGCCGACTGATGCGTGCCGTCTCGAGCTGGCACATTATGAACCCCAACCCCTTTCTGAGCTAGAGGAGATGAGGCGGCCAAATGAACTTTAGGTCGCCCGCACGCGCAACGCGCTCAGTTCTCAGCCTGTTGAGCAATTCATGATCATCATCTCCTGCACTGTCCCACAGTGACAAGCTGGGTGACATCTACGCCTGGTACTTTGAAACATGTCTTGAAGCAGTATTCGGTTTGCCTATACAATTGCTTGTTGTAAGGGGCTGGCCCCTAGGCTTGTTCAACGTAGAGGTGCCGTCGATTGACTATTCTAAGCTGAAGAAGGAAGAAAGGACTTTACAAGGGTAGGCACCTAACAGCGGTGAAGCAGGCCGGGTTAGGCGGCGTACTGCGG